CAAAAAGGATATTTAAATGGCAAGGCTAGTGTGGTCATTTTTGTAACCTAACCACTATCTCCTGACAGGAATTATACTTTCACCGAAAACCAACTCTTCTGCTTTTCTGAGAAGATAGACCGGGTATTTCACAATAGAAATATATCATTGTTAAAAAAGCATAACAAATTTTAACAAAAATTTTAAACATGCTTCTACTTTTGCCACCAATTCTTCTAGAGGTTTCCTTAGGCCAGATCTATTTTTTTACAAATATTAACACTGCCATAATCCAGTGCATCATAATGTAATTGGTCTAATTCTTCTATGTCTGCCTTCTATGTGTGTTTCTACTAAAAGATATAAAATAATAAATGTTTACCTAGATTGTGTAATTATCTGTTCCACAATCCTCTTTGATTCCCGTTTAAAAAAGCCTTTTCGGTCTTTTAAGTCGATTTATGGATAAACTTTTTGATCGTGGTAGGTGAAGAGAAGAAACCACGTCAGCCTTCAGTTTGGGGTCTTTCTTTGATTCATATTGCATCAATTTATGCTGCAAATTTCTTTTAAAGTTTTCCGGCTTAAACTGTTTGAAACAAATCCTTGAGATTTTCATTGAGATCAAATGCTTTCTAGATCCTATTTCTTAAGTGGATCAGTATTTTTTATTTATCTTATCTTATTGACAATATCTCTCCATTTTTTCCTGTCTCTAGTTCTTCCTCTCCATTCTCTGACTCCTGCTCTTTGGAGGTCTTCTTCAACTTATTGCAGCCACTTTGATCTCGGTCTTCCCCTTCTCTTTCTTCCTCCTGGATTCCATTCTATCATTGCGTATGTCACTGCCTCATCGCCTGCTCGCCAAATGTGACCTAACCATCTAACCCTGCATTGCTTTATTTTAGTTACGATGTCTTCCTTAATTGCTGCATTTGTTCTGCTTCTATATTCATTTTGCTCTGTTCTGATTGGTCCTAGGCCTAATTATGGTGTTATAAATGCTCATCTTACTTTTTTTAGTCAGTGTTTTGCTTTTAAGTAATCTTTTGTTTGCAAAAAAAGCTTTATTCGCTGCTAATATTTTTTCTTTTATTTCGGATTTATAGATATAATAGTATAATAATCTTAATAGTTTTGTCTTTTCTTGATATAATCTTAGCCCCATTACCTCCCCTTTCTCACTTATTTCTTCTAGCATTTCTTTCATTATTTTGTTGTTCTTTGCAATAATAGCAATATCGTCTGCATATGCAATTATTTGACCACCTCTTGTTCTGAGATTTCCTTTATTTATATTTCGTAGCACATATTCTAATGCTAGATTAAATAGCGTTGTTGATAAGGTATCTCCTTGTTTCATCCCTTTATTTATACTGAATTCCTCTGTCTCTCCTCTTTGTGTCTTTATGCTTATTTTTGTAGTTCTCATTGTCATTTCTATTAATTTTCTGAGTTTATGTGGAATTTTTTAATTTTTTAAGTACTATCATTAGTCCGTTTCTTTTAATTGAATCAAATGCCTGTTTGATGTCTATGAATAACATTTCCAATTCTAGTTTATACTCGTTTGCTTTTTCCATTATTTGTTTTATTGTGTTTATTGCATCTATTGTAGATCTGCCTTCTGTAAATCCACATTGGTACTGTCCTACTGTCTTCTTTGTAATCTTTGATAACCTCTTTTTTATTATTGATGTCAATATTTTATATGTTGTATTTAGTAACGGTATTCCTCTATAATCTTCACAGCTTTATTGGTCTCCCTTTTTATGTACTGTTATGATCTGCCCTACCTTCCAGTCCCCTGGCATTTTCTCTTCTTTCCATATATTTTTCAATAGTGCCAGTATTTTTTTTCTTATACCCGGTTCGCTAATCCCAGTCCGAACTGTCTAGTGATTTTATTAATTATGTTTTTACGAAGTTAGTTACTTTTTGACAGACTAGAACTGGCTGGAAATTACTATACGACCAAGCACACGTGCTCATAGCGCATTTCAGTAAAGTATTTCGTCGACCTCTTTTGCAAACTTATATGACTTAGAAATTTATAGCACGTATAAAGATAGTAAGTTTGTATTATATGTAAAAAATATATTTTATAAAAAAGTTACCGTAATTTAGTTTATATCGTTAGGTTACGCCAAATATAGGCAACCAACTTAAACTTTTTGTTAGCATTTTTGCTGAAGTTTCTTGAGAATATATTTAATTTTATTATTATTTTTTAAAGTGATGATAATAATGTTGAATAAGCCATATTTCAAATGATATATAACCACAAGACGTACTTAATATTGTGTTATATAATATAATCCTCATAAAGTACGTTAGATAAAAAATATAATATTCATATTATAATTAAAAAATATTATGCATCAAAAAGATAATACAATACCATCAAAAATATAATTCAAAAATATTATAATATTCTATTATTACTATCAAAAACTAGTTTTTTTTCTAATTTTACCTAATTTCTATTAGAAACGTACTTTATGAAGATTATATAAAATAATATTAAGTACCTACTTTTGTGATTAAATATCATTTAAAATATTGCTTATTCAGCATTATTATCATGACTTTTAAAAAATAATAAATTAACTGGAAAATATTAAACGTTTATTAAAAATATTCTCAAGAAACTCCAGCTAAATGCCAAAAAAGTTTAAGTTGGTTGCCTACATTTGGAGCAACTTAACGGTATCAACTAAATTACTGTAACTTTTTTTATAAAATATATTTTTTATATATAATATACATTTTATATATAATAGAAACTTATACATGCTATATATACATGGATGTTAACTGAAATGTTTTTGTTATTAAGAATATATTTACAGAACTTCATAAATATATTTTAGTGATCAACCTACGCCGAATGAGCAAATAATTAAAAAAATGGTTGGTGTTTTGAATAAATCTTTGCACAGGTTGATTACCTTGTAATTTAACAGCATCCTTAATCATCTAAAAATATTAACTTTTAAAGAACATTTATCATATTTATTTAAGAAAAACCTACCAACGCATTATCTGATAGAACAAATGGAAAACTTTGACTATCCCTAATAATAAAATTCAAAATAGAACTATAACTAAATAAACTAAATAGAACTAACAATATTTACTGCACTATAATATTAAATTGTAGTAACTCAAATAGTATATTTTAAATATACAGGGAAAATTTGATGGGTTTAGTATACACTTCCACTATTTAGAATAATTCTTCTTTTCTTTCAAAGAAAGAAGTCTGCAAGAGTAGTATACTTGAGCTATTAATACTGAGAAGTAGGAATTGTTGTGTTGTAGGTTTCCGACAATGAGTCTGTCAAAATATGCCCTAGCTAAGCGAATGGAGAATAGTTCCCTTCCCCCGTATTTTATTAGTTCCATATTAATTCCATCTTTACCAGGGGCTTTACCATTTTAGCTTCTCTGTATTACTTCATCCAATTCCTCTAATATTGGTTCTTTTGAAATTTCGATGTCTTCTTCATCTGCTTCTTCTTCGTGCACCTCCTCCTCGTTATGCATTTCTTCTTCTGTTATTTTTTCCGTCAAGAGCTCTCTGTAGTAATCTCTTCATACTTGCTTGTATTATCTGTCCTCTATTATCACTATTCCCTCTCTATTTTTTATTCCGTTTGTTTTGTCCTTGTATTTTTTGTTTTGTTCTTTAATCTTTTTGTAAAAACTTTTCGTATTTCTCTTTGTTCTTTCCTGCTCTATTTCCTGCATTTTTTGTCTATCCATTCTCTTTTATTTTGCTTATCACTTTCTTAGCATTCCTTCTTAATTTTTCATATTCTTCTCTGTCTTCCTCTTTATCTGTTTTTAGCCATTTATTTCTGGCTTGCACTTTTTTCCTGTTATTTCTCTACATTCTTGGTTATACCATCCGTTTTTTGTTTTAGCCTGACTTACCCTATCTGCATATTTGCACCTTCTTCTATTGATTTTTTGATCGTCTCCCATTCTGTGTTTATATCTTCTGCTTCTTGAGATTTTAGTATTAAATTTGTCTTTACGGCAACAAACGATAACCCACAGTTTTTCCACTACCGAGTCCTTGGAAAAACTATAAAACCTAACAGATTTATAGGCACCTCTTGTCGGATTATCACTCAAACACCTAGCTACTGCACAACGCATTTTATGTTTAGCCTATAAACTATTCCTAGCAAAACCCCTCTTAAAAATACAAGAGGGATGGTTAAGTATTAAGTATTGACTTAATAATAATTAAACATACCTGATTTACAACTTCTAAAAGACCAAAATGTCCATATAAAGTAGGTATACCTACAAAGCTAGTATCACTAAAAAAACTCGTATAGAGTTGAAAATATTCTTAATAATAATTATTTCTCACTAAAATGCCTACAAGTCAACTTCTGTAGCTCTGAAAATCTTCTACAAGCTTACCAAAGACGCCAAAAGTTAAAACATTGGTAAAATTTCTATTATAAACAATGACGCTCACTCTCATTGCTACGTCGACAGTAGGGGTTCAGCTGATAGTGGCCTGCGCAATATCATACCTGTTATTCTTTGTACCATGGTCAATACCTAAACCATTTGTGATATGCTATGACATCGTGAAAAATGATTGAAGAGTTAATAACGAATAAGCAGAATAACCGAATAAGGAATTAAACATGAAATATTATACAACTAAAACTATGACCAACCAAAACAAAGATCTCAATATTACAGTATTACAAACAAACTTAGATTCTTAGAAGAATTTGATATTTGTACGTTGCCAAATTTACCATTTTTCTGATATCATTAGTCACCTTAGTTTTTTAAATACAACATCCTGTATATTGTACCTTTAGTGACATCTCCACTTCAATAAGAATTTAACTGCATACAATACTTTCGAATTTATGTAGTCAGTAAAATCTTAAAAAAGTAAAACAAGCGTTGAAACAACTAATCGTCTCAACATATTTTAGACTATTTTGTGATTTACTTTACAAATATCTCAAAAATGTTTTCAGTTTAGACAACAAGTGTTATTAAGGACCCAGACAGTTGCTATAAGGATATGTTGTTCAGCCAAAGTTGATGCTGACGAAGAACCATTAATTTTCAATAAAATATTCCCTGGAATACCAGTTTTTGGATTCCATGCCGATGGAGAGATAGGATGGGATTGTGTTTTGCATCCTAAAACACCGCGTGGTAAGTAGCAGTAAAATTTATGCTGTTTATAAGCTAGATAGGTTGATAAAATACGAATGTTATACAGAAATGTCAAATCTGATACCAGGATCACAAGGTTTGACTAAAAAAGTGTTTTTAAGCTTTAATCAAAGTTGATCGTAGCTTCCCATCTATTTTAATCTTTTCTGTGTCTGATATTGAACAAGAATTAATTTTGGTTCAACATTCTTTCAGATTCTGAAGAACATTTGCCAAAAAAAGCCAAACATAGATATCCAAATGTAAGTCATCAATGGTCAACAGTGTTTGTTTTGATTACTTGGGGTACCATATTATCTTAAATGTGTGTATTTGTTGTTTTATATTTTAAAGTATTTTTTGTAGTATTATGATCGTTTTGGGACTAAAGGATAGATTTTTAATTCAAAAGACATAAAAAATATATTAATATTTGATAATATTACAGTCGGTGGATGGTGGATGTAGTGTTTATGAATAATTGAAACAAATCTTCTACTCTTGGCTCTTATTTGATTAGTTTTTGTTTTAAGTGTGTTAAGATTTAACTATTTTATATAAGGTTACGTAAAGTTATGGTCACATTTAAGTACCTACATGAAAATCTTAATAAATTCGACAATATAAAGTTAAAAATTAATAGTAATTGCTTATTGGTAAAATACTTTTACTTTTCTATTTAATTATTCAAAACAAAATTTTTGATTATTTTGTAAAATTACAATTAGTTTAATAGGTAAAATACGAAAGGTTTCAAAGCATTTACAATACATTATCAGGTTAGTTTCGTACTACAATGTATAGCAAATAAACAAAAATGGGTCAATTGGGTCAATCAATTAAATCATATTAAACATTATTTGCCAACAAACAATTAACTTTTTGTGCTTCGTTTTTCTAAATAAAGGATATCGCATTTTTTTAAATTGTCATGTAAAAGTGAGTATAATTATGAAATACGCATAACCGTGTAAGATAGTTAAATCTTACATAATGGAAAGCAAGCAGAATTTAAAATTTAAAATAATGTATAGGTTACTCCGTTTAAAAAAAAACCACTTTAATTCGTTCTCGCTCTATGGGGCATCCCTCGTATATTTGAATACGGAGCACACTAGTTCGCTCCCAAGGTCAAAAAACCCTCTTAATTACATACTAGTTCGCTGCGAAAACCATAACCTGGTTCGCCACCGTGATCAAGCGGATTAAGTATTTATCTATTAAGTTCTAGGAAAATTAACACCAGGAAAATAGGTACTGCGGCTCTTGTATTTTATATTAGAAATTATATCAAATATTGGTAGTTACATATTTATATAAATACAGTGATAAGTGCGCTAATAACCGGCAAAATAACGCAAACGATGGAAAGCATATGAAGTTGTAAGATCAAAGAGATGAAACTAGTAGAGATGAGAAATTTAGCAATAGAAACCTATAAATTTACATTATATTCACTGTTTCCCACCTTTAGAGGTATTAGAGGAGGATGTCAACTAAAACTGTCACTGTCACAGCGGTAGTTTCCTTAACTCTTACGTCTAAAGGTGGTAAACAATAAATGAAATGTAAATTTATAGGTCTATCGCTAAATTTTCCATCTCCACTAGTTTTATTTCTATTTATCTCACAACTTAATATGTTTTCTATCTTTTGCGTTATTTTGCCGGTTATAAGCGCGCTCATTACTGTTATTTATTTTGAAAAATGTTAGTGGTTAATTTAGAAATTATATTAGAAATTTTTAATTGTTTTTAAAAATTACTGAAATATTTTTTGTGCCTATTCTATAATACAGATATAATAAGAAAGCAATACAAGTGTAAAAACTAACATAATACTTGATATTCTCTACCATTACAAAATTAAACAAGTATAAATTAAAACGAGGCATTTATTTCGCTAGAAATCTAAATGAAATACATTTGACAAAATCAAATCTACTAATATTATTTTGCTTTAATTCCGCTATTTCGTGATCAACAAATTTTTGACGCTCTAGAAGTGGTTTTCGGTACACTTTTTTTTTGTTTCACAGAACTTCGTATTTTTATATAAGTGTCTATTTGAATATATTTTAAAACTTCTAAAAATTGAAATATATTAGGGTTCGGATTGTAAAATAACGAATTAAATTTAAAATGGAAACTTTCACAGGCATTGGTTGTACGCTCAAGTGATGAACTGTTTTCCGCCCACATCTCAGGATGGAAGTCTGCCTCATCAGAAATATAGTTGTCCACCAAGAAGTCAGCAAATTGTTGTACGGCTTGGTGTTGTGCTGGTAATATTTTACTAAAGTCTAAAGCAAAACACTCACCTACTTCTAATGGATCTAGGAGAGGTAGACCAAACATATATCTAAGGTATTGTCCAACTTCATTGTCGTTTGAATACTCAGTAGCCAGACCAACTTTTTGAATTTTTCTCCACCATGATTGTCCGAGATGAAATCTACAACCTCTTATTTTCGCAGATGGAAACACTTCACTTACAGCTGCATGGATCGCTTTTTCGAAATCGGCATACACAACCTTGGAACTAAAATTTAAATTCAATTTTTGACACTCGGTCTTTAAACAATTTAGGGCAGTCACATATGAGTTTGTTAACTTATTTGAAAGCAATAAGAATGCCAACGGCACATAGTGTCCATTTTCGAGTCCGTGAACTGTAAATAGTCGAATAAAAAATTTAGTGCAGTATAGTCCCATCAACATAAATTGTTTCTAATTTACTTAAAAATGTTAAGTAAGATACACAATTTTTTAGCGGATCATTTTTCAATAAAAATTGTTCTTTTTGGTTGGTTGTCACTTCCACGGAGTTTAACGAGGCATGTACTGCCTGTGCGCACTTCGGAATTTTGGGAATAACTTGTTTTCTGCCACTATAAATATTTTTTATAATCAAATGTACATCTTCCACAGTAATTTCGCTGTGTATCAACTTCAATGGTTTTTCACACAAATCATCCATTGCCTTCCGCTTAACACTAATACTTAATTTTTGCCGGTTTAACACTGTTTTTGATAAACTTTCATGGATATGGTTATGACTACATTCGACTACACTGTTACAAATATTTAAAGTTTTAAGAAATGCTTTGCAACTTCTTTCTACGCACTCCCAGCGTTTGATATTATTAGCAAGCATTTTATGGAAGTTATACTCGTCATTATCAATAACTAACGTTGACTTGCCCTTTTCACTTAACATTTCACTTACTTCAGATTTCTAAATCATGAACTAGGTATAACAGCATTCAAACTCGAACTAAAGTAATAATGTTAAGATTCGCACCACCCCTATTTCTTATCATAAAATTTCAGGTAGACTACTAATTATCTACCAATCTTTTCAAAGAAATATATCAATTGCAACTTCTGATACGGAAAAACCCAATCAAATATTGAACAAGGAAATATTAGCTTTAACATCATAATAATTTAGTGAAATTATCGATATAATTTTAATATTTTTTAAGAAAGAAGTAGTGTTATATAGTAGCATTGTTTAAAAAAGACTCATTCTTTTTTAAACAATGATGGTAGTGTTATATTAATAGGTAAATACAAAGTTTGATAAGACAATATTTAAATATCTTTTCTAAGAAATATATGGCCGGAGCGAATTTACCTATACCTATGCCCCTTGTCTGTGGGATATTAAAATCTGACCGCGGGGGTGAACTAGTATACACCCTTTGAATAATTATAGTAATAACTTTTGTCGTAAGTATTGTAAAAGATTTTAAAAAGTGTCAGTGTTATTCAATGAATGAACAACCTTAACAAACATTTTAAATTGGAATGATAGCTAACAACCATTAATCAAAATCAATTTTAAGTTTATGGTCAATGATTAATTATTTGTTTCCATCTATCCGTTTGTCCATAACGTTACGTTTTTTATAAAGTATTTTGTGCTTGCTGTACTTATTTCTTATACTGAACCTACTTATACTTTCTTATTTCTTAAACATTCTTCTAAGAATTAACATTTTGTATTTTATAATAAACATTGTTGATAGTGATATATTTATTTCAATGTATTAGTCCCTCTAGATGTAAAATCCACATAAAAACAGTTTTACCTTATCTACCTCAACGTAGCATCATAAAAATTTAATAAACTGGAAAATGAAATAAACACCAGAGTGTCATTGCTTCGATTATAATGTGATGATTGCGCTGCACTAGATCATAAACGGCAACCATATTTTAGACAGTGACACCAAAAACATGTGGTACGATCATCGCGCAAAAAGACAAAAGAGGGAATCTAATCGTTATGAAAAGGGAACCAAAAAAGTGGCCTCTGATGACGGACATATCCGGAAATTCGAATGCGCCAAATTTAAATTTTTTGAAACTTTACAATAATCATACAGTGGTGTAGGGGTTCTAATTTATCTATTTATTTATTTATTTTATATTACATAATATTTTTCTATTCTCTACCTTCTATTTAAACACTATCAGTTACATAAATTTACATTACTTTCTTTGCCATAGAACTAATGAAAGTCAACAAAAATTGAAATTTTCTAGTTCTACTTAAGATACATTTAATAAAATAAATTTTCGTTACGCCACTGGTTTGAAGTCTAGTCACTTTAGTTGACAAGCAAATAATTTTTATTTCTAAATTTTAATAATTAATTCCAATATATAATTACCGATGAAAAGATGTTTTCTCCTTTCTTGTTATGTGGGAAAGGTCACAAGTAATACAGCTTACCATGGTGATAAGTTTTTATAATATATTATATATATATATATATATATATATATATATATATATTTATATATATATATATATATATATATATATATATTATATTTATATATATATATATATATATATATATTTTATATATATATATATATATACATCCTACTATCATTTTGGCATCGATACATTATGCTTTTACCATCAATTTAGCATCGTCTTGCAAAGTAGCATCTGTATATCGACGCTACTTTACAACACCTTAATAACTTTTTTTCTGTACTTGTTACAAGAATTTTAACCATCTCACTGATTAGAGATTTGATACCGTGTTGGTATTTTAAAATATCGGCTTTCTCTTTTTATCCCTTACTGAGTTATATAAGTTTATTCCAGAAAATGTTTGAGTCTAAAATGATGGTACGGTGAAAATATTATATATATTTAGTTCAGGGTTTTACCGTTTACTCGATGTCATTATATACATAAAAATGTATATCCAACTTTCATTATCAATCATTTTAGCATCAGAAATTTGGCATCGCTGTTGAATATAATATTACCCATAACGAAATAGTAAATTTAAAATATATATATTTTTTTCATCCATAAATCATTCTGGCATCATGTTTTGTTAAAAGTAACGAGTTATGATATATTGTACCTACCTATTGTATCTTCGCTCCAATTGGTCCAGTCGTGACGTACAGTATCTCAAATGATAGGATTTAACCAATAAAATACAATAAGACAGAAAAATCGAATACAGCAGCATGTCAAAAAGGCCTTAGTTATATATCTTCGTTTCTATAAGTCCAATCGTGACGTACAGTATCTCAAATGATAGGATTTAACCAATGGAAAACAATGAAATAGAAAAATCGGATACAGCAACATGCCAAAAGGGCCTTAGTTGTGTATCTTCGGGTCTATTATTCTAATCATAACGTGGCAGCACCTCAAATGAAAGGTTTTAGCTAATAAAATACAATAAGGTATAAAAATTAAATCGGAGTAGCATGTCAAAAGGGCCTTAGTTATGTATCTTCGGTCCTATTAGTCCAATCGTCACGTACGATATAGCAAATGGTAGCACTTAACTAATAGAATACAATGACTTAGAAATCAAATACAGCAACATGTCAAAAGGGCCCTATTTACGTATCTTCGTTTGTAGTGCCACAATCGTGACGTACAGTACCTCAAATGATAGGATTTAACCAATCAAATACTATGAGACAGAAAAAATAAAATACAGCATACATCAGCCTGTCAAAAGGGCCTTAGTTATGCATCCGCGGTCCTATTAGTCCAATCGTGAAAGGGCCTAGTTATGTATCTTCTATCCTATTAGTCCAATCGTGACATACAGTACCTCAAATGATATCATTTAACCAATAGAATGCTACGACGTAGATCAAATACAGCAACACGTCAAAAAGACCTTAGGTATAAATATTTGCTCCTATATATGCTATGTCAAAAGAGCCTTAGTTATGTATCTCCTGTCCTATAGGTCTAATCATGACATATGGAGCCTAAATGATAAGATTTAATGGAGATAATACGATGGTGGAGACAAAGTAAACATGGCGGCATGTAATATCACGGTAAACTGGCAGCAATAAAACGTAATAACCCACAGAGGTCTATGGCATATTACGTGACAGAATTTAGCGAATAGCATATGATTTGCATACGTCTACTTTTAGTCAACTACTGTACATATGATAAACGCGAAAAAGTTCCAACATTCACTGTTAGACATATGCCTCCCGTTCACTGCACACATTTACTGCTCCTTGACGCTGTGACGTAAATTGGATAGGATTTAACAAATAGAATGACAGAAAATTAAATAAGACAGTGTGTCAAAACGTGGAATGCATCGTAGAACGTGAAATATATAATATACATTTAAGAATATGAAATAATACACCATTTAAAAAAAATGACGTTAGTTGAGGCAGATCAGACCAGAAAAAAATGTCAACATTTGCAGAATACTTAGCTAGTATTTTTAAAATGTACCAACCAGATAATAATAATCAAGCAATAGAACACTGAAAACTTTTGTTTTTAACTGTACGCCCATGAATGACTAGCCATTTTTAAATACCTTTTGATATTGCTTTTTTTTATTGTATTTTTCCCATTTTTCAAGATAATTCTTGTAGGGATATATTTATTTATAACATACGGTCTTATGGTCTTACGAATAGTATTACGGCTTTAATTTGTACCACACTGCTAATTGAGAACTATGTTTGTAATGCAATAAGAGGTCCTGATATACGAGACACCAGTGACTCATGCCCCACTGATACAAATCCGACAGGAATATGCATTTCTATAAAAAACATAGATTATTTGTTTTGTGTATTAATTAAGTTTAGGTAAACGAACAAGACTTGCATTATAAAAGATTTTTCTAAATGTAGAATGTAAACCATATTTCGTATGCTTTGTGAAAGAGAACCAGTTTATAACATTCCGGACGACGCAAAAACACTTTTTTATTAGAATATTGGTCGATGAATTATAATCATAGTTTAAAAAAACGAATTTATGTGCATATGGTCTACTACAAAAAATGTAAAACCAAAATCTTGATTAAAAAAGTGGCAACCGGTTACTTATAATGAAATTTACCCCCATTATTGATTTCACAAGTGAAAAAATTGTGTCAACAAAAAACCAGTTTTAATTATTACAATATTTCAACATAATAGTTTTATCTTGGTTTAATCAGGTGAAAAGAAAAATTATACACAAGTGCTAAAACCACAAGCTATTCTCGATTATAACTTGGTGAAAAAGAGTGTTGATTTTAGTAATCAAATTGCTTCTTACCAGAACCCAATATCCAAAATTCTGAAGTGGTACCGGAAAGTGGCAGTGAAATTAATATTTAATACCGCAGTAGCCAATGCTTAGTTGTTAAATAATAGAAAAGGCGAAAAAGCGACAACCTATCATTGAGTTCAGATTGGTGTTCGCGAAGACATTTGCAAATAAATAAATGTTGGAACGCTCACGACCAGTTACACCCAAAAAATACCATCTTAGGCAAAGCGACGTAGGTAATAAAAAGAGAAGAAAGTGTACAAGATATTACAAAAGTTTAAGAAGGAACATGACTAGTAGAAAGACCGATAGAAAAGTTAAAATAGTTAAAACATACTGTGGAGCATGTGATGGTAAACTGCAATATGTCTAGTGTGCTTCAATAAAGCACATTAAAATACAATTTCACTTATACAGGAACTATTATTACGTGAGAACGTATTGTTCCTCAAGTACCCTTATAGTATTGAAAATCGTAAATTATTAGTTTCTATTAGTACGTTTTTATTGTTAATTACCTCTGTAAAAGTGAGTTATAAAATTGTTTTTGTAAATTGTATTATATTTGTAAAAAAAATAGATGTAAATAATATGCTTTCGACATCTAAAAAGCTAGATGTGAACATAAACGTAGATTGACCACTGATAACTTCTATAATAGTGTTCAATTAGCTAGACAATCTAGACAATTGCTCATAGTCTACATTAAGAAATAACCGAATAGACAATCTCTACTTGTCAAAGAAACTAAAAACAACGTGAGATGGTCAGTATTTACAGTCCTGAAGAAATATGTGTGACCAAATGCAGAGATAAACGAGATATATTATATACATGATATATTCAGAATTTCGTTGTCAGAGGGTTAGAATTAGATCAAGAAGAGGATTGATATTTAAAAGAGTTAATTGATTAATATAATAAATATAAATGTGGTATACACTTACGTGAACAAATGCTGAGCTACTATTCATGTGAACATATAACATATTTCTTATCTAACAGTGGATATCAAAAGAAGATTTCCCTTTGCGATTTTAAACTTTCAGTCAATGGGAGTCTTTAAGGACCAAATTCCAAGTACCTACCTATTAAAAAACTGGTAGTCCACCATTTATATTAAAATTTTCCAAAAACTGTTTTAAGAAAAACTAGTGAAGCGCAATACATGATGTCGTATCCTGTTGGCATCACTTAGCCTCTCCTACTCAATTCCTATCTTCACCTCCAAGCTGGTACACACCGGTAACCTGAGCAATCCCACTGGAGACTGGGTAACCAACCCCAGTGGATGGTGGAGTCAGGGCAGACGAAGAAGGGAGCCTTGGTCCTCCGATGAAAAGGGGGTTGAGCGAAGGGTTAACAACCCTTCCTTGTAGAACTCAATTGTTGCGAATACAATGGCTAATGAAACAAACGGACGGATCTTATAA